AATGTGGCACATGAACATTTTGGGCTCAATCATAACTATAATGAGCAGTGGTATCAATATTACAATACTGTGTTCTACCCTTTGAATAATTTTGATTAACTAATTTTCTTTGTTCTGCTAATTTGGTGTTTTTTATTAAAAAAGTTTCTTTCTATAACAGAGAAAATAATTTAATTTCATATAATGTGACATTAATAGGTTTAGGAAAGTTTTGCACCTTCTCTAACTTTGTTGGAGTCCATCTTAATTCCATCTTTTCTAACTATGTGTCTTAAGAAATTTAACTCTGTATTTACAATTAACATTCCATGCGGTAAGTTTCAGTCCTGCTTTTTGGATATGTTCGAAAATTTTTTCTAGATGTTGTAGATGTTCCTCCCATATCTTTGAGTAGATATTGACATCATCAAGGTATACTACTATTGACTTCCATAGCATGTCCCAGAGGACTTTATCCATCAATCTCTGAAAAGTTCCAGGAGCATTTGTTAATCCAAAAGGCATAATTGTGAATTCAAAAGTTGATGAAGGTGGTCTTTTAGACATCCTCTGGTTTCATCTCAACTTGCCAGTATCACTTGCTAAATCTAAGGATGAAAACCTTGTAGTGTTTCTAATATGTCATCAATTCTTGGTAAAGGATAAGAATCCTCCCTATAAAAAATTTGGTATGGAAAATGTATGGAAAACTGTACTAGTATGGAATTTACCTGAAATTTGCATTTTTCCATACAGTTTTCCATACCAAATTTTTCATAGGGCCTTCTTGGTTTTCTTATTTAGATCTCTATAGTCCACACAAAATCGTAGGACTTCTCCTTTCTTTTCTACTACTACAACTTCTAAGGCATACTCGCTATTTGATTCATGAATGAATCCTGCATCTAACATTCTTGTATTTCTTCTTGGATAAACTTCTCCCAAGCAAATATGTCATGGTATTTATATAACAATTCAGAAAGTTGTTAAGTTTGTTCTTCGTTGAGTCCTTTCCCAACATCAATTGCATATTGGCCTATTTCTTCTTCTGTTTCAAACTTTAAATTGTAAGCTTGTATCTTTTCTTCCAAGTTGCATCTACACCTCTGATGGAAAGCTTTACATGTTTGTTTGCACCATATACATCGGAAATGGTTATGATGGTCTTCTTCTCTCACATTCACTTGGGAGTGTCTTCCCTGAAATATGTGCCATTCCTCCTTCATAGTTGTAAGTGGTCTTTCCATTTCTGTTGTGAAATTGTATGCTTTTAGATTCTAGTATATACATCATCATCATAATCGGTCTTTTTTCCTTCATCTTTGATTACCATTGAGGGCTGGGGTGTTAGATATTAGTATAGTCACAAACATAGGAGAAATCAAATAATAAAATCAAATAGTAAAGATTTTTGTTGATC